ATAGATATATATATATAGATATTATATATTCGATCGTCAGGAAGAAAAGATGTAGCTTCACGTATAGTCGTACGCAAGTACACAAATAAATATGATCAGTTCATTCATACGTACGCACACGCGCATCCTGCCCCCGCTCTTGATTGCTTCCGATTTAACGGCGAAAACAAGGGAATTGCTCGGCGATTATGTTAAAATGAAGAATGAAACCGTATATACGCTCCGATGTTTCATTGTGTCTGTTTTATGTATATTTTGTGATTCTCTATACGCGCGAACAAGTATTGTAGATAATTAATTTTGCGTTTTATTGTACTTTATTATTATTTTTATTATTATTATTATTAATATTGAAAAAAATACAGGTACTAAACCAATATAACTGTTTCGAATATGTTAAAACGTGCCTAATACATATATTTGCGCCTTTTTATATCCAGAGTTCTTCCTCGTATTTTTAATATTTAATTTTATCTGTTATAAAAATATATTTTGACAAAAATGTTTGCTTAGTTTCAGTTCAAAAGTTACATTTCTTGTATGATGATTTTTTAATGTCAATTTCTACTATTTTGTTGTTACATAAAAATAAAAAATATATAAATATCATAATAGTTAAATCTTGAATATAATATTCATATTTATACGAATACCTTGCGAACAATATTGTTTATAATAATTAGTACTATATAATAATAAGTATTAAAACGTGAATTAATACTTTATTTAGTAAATAGAACTTATTTAATATGTATTCAAGTAATTATTACACAATGCAAAAGATACTTTAGTTTTTGCATTACAGAGAGATAAGAAATTTATTTTGTTTTAAAAATTTTATTTATTGAACTCAATTATATAAAATTAGCAGATTGAATGCACCGTCGTCATCCTTATTTTGTGCCGCGTTGCAACTATTTCTGATCAAAATTATATTATTATATTTTGTATTTTATTAATCGCCTGAACTAATACATTGCAAGTGCGAATAAACATCGCGAGTATCAAAGTATTGAACAATCATTGTATCATGCAATACTTTCCGATGTATTTATATTACTATCTATAATTATTAATTGTATTTTTTGATCACATAAGCGAATAATTGCAATGAAGTTGAGATGCGTGCAATTTAAGCTGATAATACATCGACAGTTCGGTAGTAAATTCATTTTATTACATAATAAAATGTAAGTAAAGTTAATTTAAGCTATAAAAATTAAAAAAAGGAATCAGTTGGGTTAGTTACATTAATTAGCGTAATTAAAGCTGCAGGCAAATTTTGTTCAAAATATTTTGGTATTTAAAAGATAATTCGGATTAAATAGCGGTTACGGATGATTAGCAATATTAACGAGTCAATGTCTGTTTAGATACAAACAGAAACCTGAGAGAAGACGACGGTCTAAAATCTATAACTGCAAAGAAGAAGTTAAATGTTAACTACACAATAATATGTTCTCTCTCAGGTTTCTCTCTGCCGTCAATATAATTTCATTAAGTTTATTTTCCAATGCCACATATATTGTATAAAAAAACCTAATGTCATTTTCATTTCATACACTAGCGTAATAATTATTATCATAACATATTTAATACTTAACACTAAAACTCAGTGGAGTAGTATTGCTATATTAATATTTTGGTTTAAAATTTTATTATATAGAACTTTAAATAATAAGTATATTTCTATTCTTGCGCGGTGTTTATACGATTTATAATTGCTTATTATTTTATAAGTTCGAATTTTCTTTCATATAATTTTTTCGATAGCCTTCATTTATTTATTCTAATTGGTTTTCAATTTTTAGAAAAAATATAATTTCTAATCTATTCAAAATATCTTTTATGTTTGAAATTCTACAATACGTAACGCGAATTATATAAATACATGCTTAAATACATGCTAACATCGTAAAAGCACTCGAATGGGTACAGGCTTCTCTATCTTTATAAAACGCACGACTCCAAATTTCGAAAAAGATTGAAATTTTTTGCGCATAGCGTTTATATATCACATTCGAAAGCTAGCGCGATCCAATAAGCATCCGCATCCCGTTCACCGGCTGGCAAGCGAGTGGTGGGGTTCGCCGTTTGATGGCTCCTATAAATATAAATAGCGCATAATTCTCAATTTCATGCTTTTGCGAGCAGGGGAGAGTATATCCTGTCATTTTAACATTGGAAAAGTTAGCAGCCCTGTCTTCAAATCGATTATGACTTTTATCCATATTCTAATCTCTGCTTAATAAAACGACGGAATCTCTTAAAATATAAAACGACGAGAAACGGCGAAGGATCGTTCATCATTGGATTTCTTTATTAAGGTAAGCAATAATTAACTTCGCTTTTACTTCTCGTAATAATATAAATATCGCGTATTGCAGATTCTAGTATAACACATTGATTATTCGAAAGTATATTTTTCTCGCATTGTTCGATCGAAAATCAAGACGCGACATCGTGTCGCGTCCGCGTCGCTTTTTACGCGTAAAGTTGACCGCACACGGAAAACGACGCCGCTTCCTCATTTCGATCG